ATGAACATTATTTAGCTTATATACAACCTATATTTTAAAAGACACATACATATTACAAAGTAGCCTTTAAGTTTAAATTTCTAAAATATTTAATGGCAACTTTTAAAATGTCTTTTGTAGAACTAGGGCTTTGATCCCAAAAATATCAAATAGGGCGGTCCATGCAACTAACAGCTGATATTTGTGAACCTAAACTATAATGTAATAATGTAAGGTAATAAGCTACCACTCACCAAGGAATGATTACAGCACACTGTTATATGATTATCAGTGATGCACATAAACTTTTCATCAATCATGGCGACATAACCAAATGACATCAAACTAATCTGAAAACTATTACATTCCATCTTGGTGTTTGTTTTTTGTGACAGTTATCCTTAACTATTTTTTAAATATCACTAAAGATGGTATGGATGTTGTTCTGAAAACAACCAGTCAAGAATCATAGGTAAATACAGTTTTCCACACAAATACCAAATTGTCCCAAACTCATAGTGTAGTCTCTGAGATCTCTGACAGGATCATAATAATACACTAGACTCAATGAATGTAATGTTTATATTCTAATCTCTTCATGCTGGACAAAGCTACAATTTCTACTGAAATTGTACACTTGAAGGCATTAATATCATTGAATATTAGATATTATTAATTTTATAACCTGTGCCAAACTGAATGAATTCTTTCAACAGAGAACAAATTCTTTCATTTATTCAATTCTATTCGCTTGTTTGTCAATATTGAGGATTTAAGAACAAACTGCACCTTGTTCCCACTCTCCTGGCAATTACTGTTTAGCATGAGAAACAGGCATTAATATAAGCGTAAATTCTACAATGAAGCAGAGTACACAGCACAATAAGCATTCATAACAGGGGGAACCTAACATAGTCCAGGGGATTAGGAAATGTTTCTCAAAAAAAGATAAGTCTCTGAGTAAGCTGGAACCTGAAGAATCTTCTAGAACAAACACTACACATCCCTTACAGATGATTGGGAGACCTAGAGTAATAGAAGATGCTCTAGGCTGTGGGCATTCTGTGTACTATGTTAGCTACATGTATATTGTTTCAAACAACTCTAAATCCGTTCTACTTCTAGAAAATCCTTAAGAGATAGTGCATCTATGTGTGATATGCAATTGAATATTAGGTTACTTTTTTTACAACAAATGAAAAGCAAAGTACACGAAATTAAAATAAAATATAAAAAATATATAGGTATTTAAGTAATATGATCAATAGCTACAAAGTAAAAGTTCTATTTTAATATTTTGTTTTAAAATCTTTTTTCTTCAGGTGGGTCAATGACAATATGTAGACTAAGAATTTTTTCTTCACTTTACTAATAATCCCACCATCTAAAGACATTTCAGTAAAGTGTATTATACTAAAAATTATTTTCACTCAATTCATTCATAACAAATATAATATATCACTACACAAGTCAACATTTCACCACTGGATGCCAAAGGATACTAGGATAGATATAGGAGGAAGGAACAAAACCTCATGAACCCCTCTTGAATTCTTAAAACCTGTTCTCGTCATTAAAGACTCAGTGAGAGTAAAGGGGGTTCTGAGAGTCGGAAGGGTATATTAAATATCGAAATGCGATAAGAATTAGTGCTTCCCAATGCATCGTTAAAAACTAATAACAATGATCAAAAATATATACAACAGCTCTGTTTTTTCTACTCAATTTTGCTGGAACTTAAAACTGCTCTAATAAAGTAAGTTAAATAATATACTATTATATATATATACACACACACACACACACACAACAGATTCTGGCAGGCAGTGGTCTCACGCCTGAATCCTAGCACTCTGGCTAGGCCGAGGCGGGCAGACTGCTCTAGGTCAGGAGTTTGAAACCAGCCTGAACAAGAGCAAGACCCCATCTCTACTAAAAAAATAGAAAGAAATTAGCTGGACAACTAAAAATATACAGAAAAAAATTAGCTGGTGGTGCATGCCTATAGTCCCAGCTATTCACCTATGGTCCCTGAGGCAGAGGATGGCTTGAGCCCAGGAGTCTGAGGCTGCTGTGATCTAGGCTGATCCCATAGCACTCTAGCGTGGGCAACAGACTGAGACACTGTCTCAAAAAAAAAAAAAAAAGTCACATATTAAAAAATTAATGTCATGAGAAAGTGGTCACAATTCAGTGATAAATGGATAAAAGCAGGAAATAAAAAATACATTATAGCATGATCTCAATTTCGGTTTTTAATATAAATAGATGGCTCACTAAAGATTTTACACACACACACACACACACATACATACAGAAAATGACTAGAAGGAAACAGAATCACAATGTTCATAGTGCTTATTCTCTGACTTGTGAATGACAACATTATGGAGATTTTCGTCTTCTTTTTGCTACATTTTTCCAAATTTTGCACAATATATAAGTATCTGCATTATAAACAAAAGGGATTTTTCCCCAAAAACAAATACAATAAGATATCTGAACACATAATATGTGGGATGATGTAAATATTAATAGAAAAACACGCTGTAAAGGAAAATCTTAAATAATACCAGTAAAAAAACATAAAATACTACTTTTATGGTTAAAAAACTATAAATACTACTTTTTCTAAGCATTGTATTTTCTTTTTTTAAGACAGGTAACATTCTCAAATTTTCAATGAATAAATTCTAATCAAACCAAAAAGATTTCAGTAATACTTTAATTTTACTCTCAGCTCATGGCAGGTATTATTTTGACACCTATGCAGCACTTTAATGAAGCAATAAAACCAAAATACAATGCTTAAATATTTGAGGGTTTAAATGCCCATCTCACATTGTGCCTCAACTATGCTATAAAAAAAATACAAAAAACAGACTGAGACAAGTCCCTTAGGAACAGGGTGGCTCAATGTGGCTCTAACCTGGTTCGACTGCATGCAGCTCTCCTCAGTTCTTGTATCAACTGACCAGTACATTCTGGTTCTTTACTGGCCGCCTGCAGCAAAGCTTTCCTAAATGTGTGCCGGCATTTCTTTTGACGAGATTCTGCCCGCTCCAGGCGGCAGAGGTGCTTATATTTCTGCTGAAAGTAAGTGCAAAGTTGGGTCACCCTGGAGCTCCTACTCTCTGTATCATCGTCATCTGACCTGGAAAGTGCAGGGAGATAAGTAAAAAACTGATTACACATTAGGTTCGTTTTAGAGAGGGGAAAAGAGAATGAGGAAGAGTGGTAGAAAGCACTGGTTTAAAACGTTTGTGGCAATGTGAACACATACCTAACAAAATTAGTGTAAGAGAATTCCAATAGAGCTGAAAATAAGTACAATATTTCAACAACAAGCAGGGCAGTAGAGACAATCCAGTACTTTAAGAAACTTAACCTTCTTAGCATGTCATCAGTAGACACAATGCACCAGTGTCTTCTAAATTTTAAGTGACCAGAGATTCTTGGGATGGTGGGAAAGCCATTTCTTTACCTTTACTTACCTAAAAGTCTGAGCAAATAACACGGCAGTTATGAGGAAATATGCAGCATAATTTCATAAAAGATAGGTCATACCAGAAATAGAGCAGTGAATTCTAACAGCAAATTATCTAAGAGCCGCCCATTTAAACATTCTGGTTTTTAACTACCTTTTTCTTGCTAAGTACCTACAGAATTTTGATCATAGGGATCACATTAATTCTAGTTTTCTCTTTTTAACTATGGAGCTATCCTGAATAGCATTTAATAGAACAGGGATGATATGGGGGGTTTTTTTGGTCACATGCTTATGTGATTGATTGGTGGTCCCTGCTGAAGTGCTGTGTGGAAAGGGCACATCTAGGCACAAGAAGAGAGACTGCTGTGGTTAGTTAGCAATGTCTACCACCAGCAAGGTTACCAAGGTCATTTTTCTATGGAACAAATGTGCTCTCATTTTTACTATTAGGAATAATGCGCACTAGACTTGAAAACTGATCCGTGTTATTTTATCTTCTTTCTCTTCTATCATAACATAAGTAAATACCACACATGTGACACCACAGACTATTATTACCTTCCTAATCTTCTGTAAATCATGGCTTGGTTTCTCTTCTTAGGTGATATTATTATTCTTTCCTTCAGAATAGTCTATAACAAACTATCTATGAACTTTTGTTTAGTATCTCTTCAAAGAAACATGTTTAGCCAGGAGCGGTGGCTCATGCCTGTAATCCTAGCACTCTGGGAGGCTGAGGCAGGAGGATTGCTTGAGCCCAGGAGTTTGAGGTTGCTGTGAGCTAGGCTGACACCACCGCACTCACTCTAGCCTGGGCAACAAAGACTCTGTCTCAATCAATCAATCAATAAAATGGTGGGGCAGACAGACCAATGATTCAAATATCTGACTAGAAATCAGAAAAATCTAGGAGCATTTTAAAATTTCAGATTCTCAGGACCTATCCTTGATCTACTGAACTAGAATCTCCACTGAGTGGGGCCCAGGAATCTTTATTTTGAATTGTTCCCTTAAGTCTCATAGCAGGTCTATACTTGGGAGTTCTAATGAAGCCAGTGAATGCTATAAATATCTTTAAACTTGATAGTCGTAAGTACCACAAGAGAGGTATGGACAAAGTGCCGTTGAGGGTCACTGGAAAGATTGCTAGATGAAAGAAAGGTTCTGCAGAGGAGATGACAACAGAATTGAGCCCTGAAGAATGGGTATAATTTAAAGATGAGAAAAAAAGGTTACTCCACACAGATAAAACACATAAGCCAAGACACGGCGCGCTGACGGAGAGATACACTTAAATATAGTGGTTCTATAAATGTCAAATTAGGTCAAAGTAAGTGAGTAGTGTGTATTCTGTCTTCCATATCCTTTGGTAATTTTCTGTGAACTTGTTCCTAGTCAAATTATTAAGAAAGGGTGTTAAAATGTCTGTTTGTGGATTTATTTATTTCTCCCTTTTGGTTCTATCACTGTTTACTTTTCACATTTTATAGTTTTGTTATTAGATGTGTGATATTTAAGGATTGAGTCGCCCTCCTGATGAAGTGGCCCCTTCTTATTATTATAAAATGTACCCTCTATGATCTAGTGATAGGTATTTCCTCTGAGCACCTGTTACCTTATGTGGCATTAATTAGAACTACAAGCTGGTGCAGTGGCCCACGGCCTGTTAAATCCTAGCACTCTGCGGAGGCTAGAGGCGGGTGGATTGCTCAAGGTCAGGAGTTCGAAACCCAGCATTGAGCAAAGCGAGACCATCTCTACTAAGAAATAGAAAGAAATTAATTGACCAACTAAAACTACTAGTAAAGGCCCCCCCTTTTTTTTAGCCGGGCATGGTGCGCATGCCTGTAGTCCCAGCTACTCGGGAGCTGAGCAGCAGGATTGCTTGAGCCCAGGAGCTTTGAGGTTGCTGTGAGCTAGGCTTGATGCCACGGCACTCTCAGCCAGGGCAACAGAGTGAGACTTTCCAGGACTAAAAAAAAAAAAAATATATATATATATATATATAACATAACACACACACACACAGCTTTCTTTTGGTTAGTGTTAACTTGGTATTCTTTTTCAATTCTCTTATTTTTAACCATATTTGCATATTTATATTTAAAGTGGGTTTTTGTTGGCAGCATATCATGTAGATCTGGCTCTTGCTTTTTTTATATACTCTGCAAGTGCTCTACTTTTCTATTTCGAGTAATTTGAACCAACTTAAATTTAATACAATCATTGCTATTGTTGGGTTAAATCTAATTACCTTCTTAATTCTTATTTGTCACATCTATTCTTTTCTTCCTGTTTTTCTTTTTTGATAAATTATTTCATGATTCCATTTTGCTCTCCTTTCTAGACTCTTAGCTGTAACTTCTTTGCTTTGATTTTGGTAGTAATATTTAGGGTTTATATTATAACACATCTTAAATTACTGCTGTGCCACCTTCATGTATTATACTACTTCATGTACTAAGAACCGTTTGTCAGTATACTCATTTCTACTAATTTCCATTTCATGTATCTACTCTGACCAATCTCTGCTTTTTATTAGACCATTGGAATGTAATGTGATTATTGATATTATGCATTTTAAACATTTTAAGTTTTTTTTTGAAATGTTTGGTATAATTTAACCCAGTGATAGTCATCTGGTCCCAGGCTGTTTTCTTGTGGGAATTTTTTTGATTACTAATTCCAATCTCTTGTATACGTTTATTCATTTTTTAATTTCTTCTTGAGTCAGATTCAGAAGAATTGTCGTCTCTTTAGGCAACTTGTCCATTTCATTTTTTGTTATCTAATTTATTAGTATATAGTTTTTTTTATAATGTTCCCCTTACAGAATCTTTTTTCCCCTTTAAGATAGTCTAGACTCAATCCTACTCTTTAATTTTCTAACTTTGATTTATGACTTTCCTTTTTTTCTGGGTTACGTCTAGTTTTCAGGATCTGTCAAGATATTATTGGTCATTCATTATTCAATAAATATAACCATACAATATATGGCATTTTGTGTTAGAGAGCATACTTCGTATATTTGCAATACTTTCAAATTTATGAGACTTTTTTGTTACTTGTTTTATGGTCTGTTGTAGCAATATGTTCATGTTGCACTTGAGAAGCAAGACATATTCTGCTATGTATTTGGTGGAGTGTTTTGCTAAAGATCTAGTTGCTTTGTTGGTTCCAATTCTTCTGTTTTACGTCACGTATCACGTTTTTGTTTGTCTAATTATGCGAATCCACATTGAAAGTCCTCCACACCTCTTCAATTCTGCAAGTTTTTGCTTCCATGATTTTGGGACTCTGTTGTTAGTACTATATATTTATACTAATATTATCATCTCTAATGTATTGATACTTTTAGCTTTATAAAATACCCTTGTTATCCTCTAGTGACATTTCTTGTTTTGAAATCTATTTTGTCCTGATGTTAGTATAGCTACTGGCAGTTTTCTGGTTCTGTTTTTGTTTTTGGGTTTTTATTATTATTTATTGAAGATAGTGTTTTACTCTGTTGCCTGGGCTAGAGTGCAGTGTCGTTATCATAGCACTGAAATCTCAAGCTCAAGGCTCAAGTGATCCTCCTGCCTCAGCCTCTATGAGTAGCTGGGACTAACAGGTATACAACCGACACCGCTCATTTTCCATTTTTGTAGAGCAGGACTCACTCTTGCTTCAGGCTGGTTTTTAAACTCCCTGACCTCAAACACAATCCTCGCTACCTCAGCCTCCCAGAGTGCTAGGATTACAGATACTTCTCTGTAAGACTTGCCTTTCCCTGCTTTTCCTTTTCTATTTTTTTTTTTTTTTTCTGAGACAGAGTCTCACTCTGTTACCCAGGCTAGAGTGAGTGCCATGGCGTCAGCCTAGCTCACAGCAACCTCAAACTCCTGGGCTCAAGCAATCCTGCTGCCTCCAGCCTCCCTAGTAGCTGGACTACAGGCATGCGGCCACCATGCCCGGCTAATTTTTTATATATATATTAGTTGGCCAGTTAATTTCTTTCTATTTATATAGAGACGGGGTCTCACTCTTGCTCAGGCTGGTTTCCAACTCCTGACCTCAAGCAATGCGCCGCCTTGGCCCTCCAGAGTGCTAGGATTACAGGTGTGAGCCACGGTGCCAGGCCTCCTTTTCTATTAATGGCACCTTACACTTTCCTAGTTATGCAGATTCCAAAGCCATTGAGTCATTATTTTCTTTCTTATCCTTCACAGCCAGTCACCAAACTGGATTACTTCTTTTATGATCATGGCCCTTACATGTCTTGTTCCTTCCGTTATCTCTGTGGGTTTTACTTTTAGTCACTCCATGTCCTTCACTGTTAGTTGTTGACTCTGAAATCATTCTCTTCCCTAACTGTGCTCCACTTTTTTCATTTCCACAGATTTTTGTGCAGCTCCTCTTTTTTTTTTTTAATTTCGGCATATTATGGGGGTACAGATTTTAAGGTTTCAATAAATGCCCATTCCCCCCTCCCCCACAAGTCTGAGTCTCCAGCATGACCATCCCCTCAGATGGTGCACATCCTCACTCATTATGGATGTATATACCCGCCCTCCCTGCAGCTCCTCTTGATATCTCATCTAGATTCCTTTTGTCTGAAATGGAATTTATTTCTGCCCCCAAACTACTCTTGCTCCTGTTCCTTGTTTTGTAAGTGGTACATA